TACAATCATTCCACGCGCTGTAAGTCCCACAGCACTATCCCCACTGCTCCCCTCCGTCCCCTCACTCCTCGCGGCTTCCCGCTGACACTCCATTCCCTCCCACGCAGCGTCCATAGGAACACGTGCTACTCGGCACGCTACGCATAACGGGGCCGGCGAAACTACCAGTCGCCACACGGAACCCCAACACTCCAACACCCAACTCTCTCCGCACGGACGTCACGTCACTCCATTCCTCCCCCTTCTCCCTCGCAAACCGCTAGAACTCGTCCTCCTGTGATGCTGTGCGACTTATCCCTGTGCTATACCAGGCCGCCACACCAAAACTCTCTTCTGACAACGCGCTCATCCCGGAAACACAACACTAGGATCTCAACGACACAGCTAGGAACTATTGAATAGCAGACCCAAACAACAAAACAAAAAAAAAACCCCCCGATCATCCACTGATTTGCTCCGCTTCAAGCCGTCCAAATATCTGAATAACCACCTGCGCTCCCGATTGTATGGATATCCTCAGGAAGATGGGTTTACCTCGCAGACGACGGCCTCCACACAGAGGCTCAGGCGTAATTTTTTCTCCCACTCCATCCCGTCCATCTGTCGTGGCCCGCACTTCTCGCATTACGTCCACTCTGACCACCTTCCCGGCTCAGCTATCAAATCACAGCGTACGCCTCTAAAAGCGCCCTCCTCAAAACACCCCGCTCAATGAACAACAAAAAGCACATCCAAACGATTCATACGGAATAAGCCTGGATTTCCTCTTTTTCACTGAGACCTGGACAATTCTGACTATTTCTCATTAAAACAATCACGTCCATCGGATCCTAATTTTTGTACTAAACCATGTCCACAAGGCAGGGTGATTGGTATTGCCTGCTATTTTAGGAAAAGGATTGAAAGCCCACCACCATCTCCCATTCCCTGATGTTTCCCTCATTCGAAAGCCTGGTAATTCATGCTCTCTGTCCCAACTCCCTGGTCACAGCATCATTTACCGCCTCAAAAACAAACCCACCTTTTTTATCGACTCTCTGACCTTTCTAACCAGCTATGCGCAATATCTCCAATCGTGCTCGTCGTAGGGATTAATTTCACAATTGATGACCAACCCGTAAATTTAGGATGCCGAAATTCGGCGGCCGAAATTATTGGCCGCCAAATGGTTAGAAAGGCCTTTCGTCATTTACGGCCGAAAGGTTCTAGCAACCGAAAAATTCACCGAATTCAGAGAACAGGTGACGTGTAAAGCTAACGTGTTGTTGTGCTGACGTAATCAAAAAGCGGCGCAAGCACGCGCGCGACCATCTCGCTGGCTGGCCACAGCCAAATGTCTGCAGCTGGAGAATATTAAAAATATCAGAGAACAGAGCGCGGATTGCGATTTGTAGAACCGTGTCAGCTAGTACATTCTGGGGTGTAACTGCAAGACTTTCACCACTTCGGGATTACTCCACCTTGAAATCAAAACACCCGGAACAATATGCGGAGGTAGATCGAAATCCAAGCACTCGACAAGCGAGAGATGTTGCAGCGCTGCCTCTCATGTCTTTGAGAGAGAGGAAAGATTTATGGCTGGTAAGCAAGAAGCTAATGTTTGTAAAAATAACCTTCCACGTTCCTTAATAAGGAGACAGGCTGCTTATCAGCTTTACATGTCTATCTATACCACTTCCTGAAATTTTCATTGTGAGTTATATTCAACATCTCAGGTTATTTAGGAGGGAAAGACGCAGCACAGTGTTCAAGATAATTTACTTTCGGTATCTAATGATACAATGTTGTTTCATTGCTCATGGGACAGACCCCCTTTATTATGCAGATTCTGAATTGTAATTACATTGTAATTGATTGTAGGATTTTGATCTCAGTTTTTCACTTTAAGGTATCTTTATATCAATGTTAACTACCTTTGCTTTGAGGACAGACAGCCTATTTACAGATTCTTGAATTCAATTGTAATTTCATTTGTAAAAGTGTTCATTCATGTGGATTTATCCAGTTTGCACATTGTATGAATGCACTATATAGGTGCATGTTGTTGTTGAAGGCCTGGCTTGTTACCACGTCTTTATGACCATGTTTTGTTTTAAGCTACTGGCCCTATGATGTTTATGAGGTTTAAAGCACGCTGGCTTGTTCTGAATGCACTTTGTGTAAGTTATCGCTACAGAGAACAACAATGCACTGACTTGGAATTAATCTACTGTATGCATTACAATAAGTGCTGAATAATGTTTTATGGACCATAATAGTGATTTATTATTTAAGTAAGTTTTGCCATAATCATTTATTTTTCCATAATCAGGGCCAGCCTGGAACACATGGTCAAGAAAATGTATACTTATATATATATAGTATTTCCCTATAATCATTTTCGGCCTTTCGGCATTGTTTTCGCCAACTGTTGTCCTATTTTCGGTATCGGTTTCGGCAAGAATTTCCCATTTCGGTGCACCCCTACGTAAAATGCCATCGAATTCTGAAACTCTACAATGCTTCCAACTTTACACAGCAATCAAATTTCCCCACACACAGCCGTGGACCATCCTGAGACTAGTCTGCTCCACTGGTCTCACCGCACCAACCTCATCTCCGACCTACCTGGCATCACATGGACATTAATATCCCCAATCCCCATCCAACACAATCGCACAAATAACCTTCAGAAACCTTAAATCACCTGTCTCCTCAGCACTCTCGCCTGCATCACCTGCATGATGTCGCCTTCCTCTCCCCCCGCCTGACAATCATGTCAACTGGTGACCTACTAAAAACCCACGCTCTGACACCCTCCTCTCACCGTCTTAATGAACTTGCCCCCCAAAAACCAAAAATCTGTTTGCTTTCACGACCGAGTCACGTTTGAACTCACAACTGATACACTCCGCACACAACCCAGGCTTGTTCCTCCACCATCAGCACACTCCTTAAACCAGCTCGTGACACGCACCTCATCGTTTGCAACCGCACCATCGTGAATTCTTCCTCTCAATTCTCTCAATCCAAATCGACAGCATCTATAGAAACTGACCATCCTTCAACAGCCCTCGACTCCATCTCGTCCTGGCTCCCCCCCCCCTTCACCTCACAGCCATATCCCGGTTGCTCCCTGTCCCCGATGCAACTGTCCACCCTCATGGCTGGAATGGACTCCACCTGCACTCTGGACCCCATACCAACTAAATTTGTCAGGGAACGACTCCCTCCCATCTCCCAACTCAAAACCACAATCATTAACTCCTCCCTCTACTCTGGATCAGTCCCCCCCTCACTCAAACTGGCTGCTGTTACACCCATACTGAAAAAACCTGGACTCAAACCTGACGTCATGTCCAACTTTCGGCCCATCTCCAATCTCCCCTTCTTATCAAAACTACTCGAACGTGTTGTAGCCTCCCAACTGAAATCCCACCTCAGCTCCAATAACCTGTTTGAACCCTTTCATTCAGGATTCCGCACAAAGCACAGCACAGAAACAACCCTCCTCGGAATCACTAACGACCTCCTCCTCTCCTCAGACTCCGGCAATCTCAACATCCTCATCCTCCTCCACCTCACAGCAGTGTTCGACACCATCAACCATACCATCCTGCTGTCCCGCCTGGAATCATCTCTTAAAAGGTCCCACGTCATGCTTTTCCGGTTATTACCCATCCCCTTGTGTGTTATGAAGGTTTTTATGCATGTAAACGGTCTGCAGAGTCAAAACCCTCAAAGTACACCCTGTAGCGAGTAAAACTCGAACACAGAAAATACCTCCTCCAAAACGCCTCGTTGGAGATACGTCACTGTCCATTGATTCTTCCGGGAAACTCATGATGTCATGCGTTTACCGGAACCAAATGGACCGAGCCGTTACGTTACGTCCGCGGAGCCGTTACGTTAAGCCCCCGCTGATTGGTCCAAATTGACCAATCCACGGACTTCCTCACTGTGTTTCGCGGTGTATCGCTAAATAAGGAAACCACACCGCCACGGAGCTCAGCGCGATTCACAACGTTCCTTTTCATCCTCTATATCCTCCCCTTTGGAAAAATCATCCGCCGCCACAACCTCCAGTATCACTGCTACGCGGATGACATCCAACTCTACATTTCCACAAAAACCATCACTGCCACAACTCACTCACCAACTGTCTCTCAGAAATTAAATCCTGGATGCAAACGAACTACCTTCAACTGAACAGCGACAAATCAGATATTATCCTAATCGGACCCACATCCCGCACCAACACCACCCAGAACTTCAACTTCACCCTTGACAACACCACTCTAATCCCCTCTCCTCACATTCGCAACCTTGGAGTAATCTTTGACAGCCAGCTCAAATTCGACAAACACACAAACCATATCACTAGGACTGCCTTCTTCCATCTGAAAAACATCGCCCGCCTCCGCTCCTCACTCTCCTTCCCGGCTGCTGAAACCCTCATCCAGGCATTTATCACCTCAAGACTGGACTACTGCAACAGCATCCTGTATGGTTCATCATCCAAAATTCTAAATAAACTACAATACATCCAGAACTGCGCTGCCCGCTTCCTTACCCACACCCGCTCCAGAGACCACAACACCCCCGTCCTTCAAAACCTGCACTGGCTCCCTGTCCGTCAACGAATACACTTCAAAATCCTTCTGCTAACACACAAAGTTCTCAATAAACAGGCCCCCCCCCCTACCTCACCGACCTGATCCACCACTACACTCCCTCCCGCAACCTTCGTTCATCAGAAGCGAACCTCCTTTCTATCCCCACATGAACCAAGCTCCGAACCTTGGGGGACAGAGCCTTCTCCATCACTGCCCCCACCCTCTGGAACTCCCTTCCACAACACATCAGAGACTGCACCGACCCCCCCACTTTCAAAACACTGACCAAAACACACCTCTTCAGACTGGCTTTTAATTTGTGAATTATGCCGTGTTGCTGTTTTAATATATATATTTTTTTACTCTATTCCTTATTCTATTTTATCATGTTTTATCAAACCACTGTAAAGCGTCTTTGAGCACCTGGAAAAGCGCTTTGAAATCAAATGTATTATTATTAAAGCTCCAGCTGTCCTCGTGTCTCTTTGAGTCCTGACTCGCCATTGCTACAGAGGTTTCCCCCACAGTAATAACTTGATAGGAAACTGGAAAATTCCGAGAAATTTTGACTGTGTGACTGAAACTTGGGTGCGCATCCCGACGCTAACATTACCCCCGCTGAGTAAGTATTAATAGCATTAGTTGTATTGTTAAGGTACAACAAAGAATATCCATTAATTTTAGCTCACTTTTAGCTGACTATTTTAAATGTTTATCTATTACATTTTTGGATTCTAGTACCACATTCCTGCATCGTTCCTGAACATCTTTAGATTACCACTGGGTTTATTTGACAACCGACAGGTGTCTTCAAAGATCAAAGCGTTTCCACGGCAACGCCCTGCCAGTGAACGAGAGACAGCCTGTCAGAGAATGTATTGACAATATTGTGCTGCATTATTGCTTCCAAGTAAAAAACTGTAACTCCAATCAGCTAAATATCCTACCCAGAGTATTTAGGATACCAGATGAACACCTGATGGCTCTCGTGTTTGCTATATGTGTCCTTTTGATTAAATGAGCATATCGGTGCTGCCGGGACAAATATCCCTCCATTATGATCACAAAAGTATGAAGAGTGAAAATTGTGGCCAGCCGAGCAACAGTTGGAAAAAAAACTCCGAATATTTTCCAGCTCCTCTCCCCTCTAGCCGCGATGTCACCACTCTAGGTCTTAACGAGCTCTCCCATACACACCCATTATAAAATGTGAAACAGTGTGAAATGTCCACAAAACGTAAGCTGTGATCCAAATAGTCTAATAAAGTCCATACTTAGCCTCAAGAATCGTTTCAACTTGTAATTGTTGTCCTACGTTAAAGTGTGCGGAATCTGTATGGGGTCAAAGGAGTGTTTTTGATCTCTGTTCAAATAGATTTCCCATTCATTGCTATGGAGCAAATGATCGCAGTTTTCTGCGAATTTGCGTGAAAACGGCTAGGCGAATCTCTTTGTAAATGACGTAACAAAGTTGCCTTAATCAAAAAGAACAACACAATTGGTTTCATAGTTGAATTCAATAAATAAATACTTTATTTCATGTAATATTATAATCGTTAAATATGGCATGATTTAATACAGTTTGTTTTACGTGTTAAACCAATATGCGTAAGTGTTTGTTGTTTCTTGTGCCTAGGAACTAATGTTTGTTCATGTACTGGTACTGCCTGTTTTGTTGATACACTGGACAACTCAACGTGGGTTGACGTCTTTATTCAAAGCTCTGCTGAAGTCTGTGACAAAGTTATAATTTGACAAGGTTATACGGAAAAGGAACTTTAAAGATAAATCTCCTTTCACGACAAGCGGCCAACGAGGTATGTGTTTTATGTTCTCATGTGTCATATTTTCATTCATATATGTGTAGCACAATATGCTAATATGTTTGGCTATGTATACGTGTTATTCGTTGTTGTAGTTCTCACGGCGTAACGGAAGAGGGGAGGCTACAAGATGAAAACTCCAAGAAATAAACGCCCGTTTTAAAGAACCGACCTGTGTCTGTGTCGTGAAGAGAGCTACAATATCAGTTTCTGTGTTTTTATAATGTAACAATTATTACATTTTTAACAGTCACCAAGGTTAAGTTATTTTCTGTATATGGCCCATTTCAGACACAAGGCACATCAAAGTGCTTTAACACATAAAACAATTAAAAATAACAATCAAAAAGACAATTCCTAAAAGAGATAGAAATTGATAAAAAATAAACATTGTAAATACACACAATGCTGCAAGAGGTGCTGAAGTGCAATGGTAAAACATATAAGACCTCTGGAAAAGCAACAATAAAGAGAAAGGTTTTCAGCCTTGACCTAGAAGAACCCAGGTTGGGGCGAACCTCAGATCCTCAGGAAGTTTGTTTCAGATCTGCGGGGCATAAAAACTAAAAGCTGCCTTAACAGATTTGGTTCTGACTCTGGGGACGATGAGTAAACCCGCCCCGATGATCTGAGAGCTCTGGGAGGCTCGTAACAGATCAGCATGTCAGACATGTATTGTGGTCCCAGTCCATTCAGAGCTTTATAAGTTAAAAAAATATATTTTGAAGTCTATCCTTTGAGTGATTGTTAACCAGTGGAGAAACATAAATCCCTGTCTTACGCCATATGCCTATGAAGATTTTGGCCACAATGTGACTCAGGCATAGTGAATTAAGGGTGAAATGTTCTTATGTTAGATTTATGTCAATGCTTTTAAATGCAACATTCAAATGCAATGTTATACAATAAGAAGGGACCAGGTGAGGTGTGTGTGTGTGTGTGTGTGTGTGTGTGTGTGTGTGTGTGTGTGTGTGTGTGTGTGTGTGTGTCCACCCATCCATCCCTCCATCAGAAGTCTTGACAAGGTACAAGTTTAACTTAGACCTGGGTTATCTGGCCTTTCCCATAAAGCCCCTGCTGCCTGGAAGATTAATGACAGTCTTAAACACTTAGAGACTGTTAATAGATGGACCTCGCACTCTGCAGGAAAAATAGACCCTCGTTTTATTTTGTACGTTTTTGTGCTTGTTAAGTTAAGCTTTTTTGTGTTTTGCATACTTTCATAACTCTGACTCAATGATATTCATTTGAGTCCAGTTCCTCCAAAGAGAAGGTCGTTCTGTTTATCGTTTCAGTCACTGAGAAACTCATCAGCGGCTCTATTAGACATCTGCTGCCACATCTGTTTTGCAGACTGACTTCAGATCAGGGAAAACTTTGTTATAACTATGTTTTAATTTTTTTTTATTAGAACTGTTTGTCTTGTGTTGTATTCCCCCCTCTCCTCTTATTTCAGATACATTCACATGATGCCCTTGTGTGCTTCCAACCGTTGTGATTGGTTGCTCCACCCTGATTGGTTCAACCTGTTCCTCATTATCCTGCATAACCCTCTGTAGTTTATAAAATGTATATCTCAATCGGAGATACAAGACCTGCACCTACTCAACTGCCCCACAATGCATTGCGTCTGAGGCCTGCCATCAGTCGTATGACATTGTGAGCCAGGTTACACGCCTTCCCTCTCTTGTGTGTTTGGTCAGCATGTTCCTATTTCAGTGACAAG